TTACGTGGCCCAATAACAAAGCATGTGTTGGCTGGAGAGTGCAGGAGGCGACTGCCCCTAGCACTGCTCATGTGTTAAACAAACAATCACATTCTACAGGCTACTTCTAATCCACAGAACATAATTAATGCAAAAGCAAGAAATAGGTGGCTCCAGAACATACAAGTAGTTAAAGACTAGAGTCTCTGTATTGGATATTTATGTAATCACATGCTTTGCTAATAGGTGGGGGATTGTTCTAAGGATAACAGGAGCAATCAATCCTGATGACTTACAATCGGAAAATCAAGGAGGAGACCGCGAATGCCGTGCAAACAACGCGCCTCCTCCGAGCGTTTTTATTTGAAAGACGATTTACTGTCGTCGGATTTTGCCGCAAAGCATGTTGGACAAGGCATAAGGCAGCGACAAATTATGAGCTTTCCGTCGGAATTCTACCGCGCGAGAAGGAGTAGAAGAGGATTTCGCGGGAAACAACGGAGAACTATAGAGAAGTTTTTTGTGAAATTTACAGATGTCAACGCCATTACGGCCAAGACGCCGTCCTCTGTCTGTGCATCGCGGCAACACCGGATCTGCGGACGAGACTGGCGGGTTAAGTCGGTTTTCCACGAAAGGACCTGGGTCAAGGAATGGATTTAATGTCGGGTCAGGGTTTGGGCCTAGATCAAGTTCAATAATAACCTTATATATTATATTGAACAAGGCCCCAAGCCCATGCCATCTCAAAGCCCATATACATTTTCAAAATTAAATTTTTTTTTAGCATGTCTCGGAAAACAGTCACTTTGATTAATAATAATAATCAAAGGGTTGATGATCAAATGGTGCTTTAATCAATATTAGGTCTAGATATATAAAAAAGTAATATTAGGTCTACATAAAAAAAATAATTTTAGAAGAAGAAGATCATTTCGTTAGTTGATAGGTTTGATTTGCAGAAAAAAGAGACTCAATTGTAAAATTATTGAAAGTGTTGGGATTAAAATAACATTTTAGCTTTTAGTTCTCCCATTTGTTTTTCTTACTAGGCAAAAACCCCAAGATTGGCCCTCAATTTACAAAATTTGCCAAAGCTGGGGCCTTGCTTTTGAAAAATATAGATTGGAAATAATTCAATAATTTTATTCTAAAAAGGTCCTATTTGTATTGTTTTAATTTTTTTTTAATTGTATTGTCCTCTAAATTTAGAGTCAATTAGTATGATTGTGATTTTTAGTTTTTCCAATTTTGATTTTCACAGATTTTATAACTATACAAAACTAAAATTAAAAATAAAAAATTAATAATTTGTTTAAAATAAATTTTTTATACCAACAACTAAAAATATGAACTCAGTTAATATAAACTCATTTAATAATATTAAATATGTTCATATTTTTATTCTTATTTCTCTAATAATTATAATGATATACTGTACAAATATATGAAACTAAATAAGTTTTTTAAGAGTTACAAATTTTGTAAAAACCATTGCCTTAATCATTTAGCTTCCATCTCTGAAATTGATACTTGGTTTATGGAACAAATCTCTCGCTCCACTTTTATAACACCTCCTTCTCTCTCAACTTTACTGGTAATGAAAAACCCTAGTTTTTTTGGTTTTGGTAGCTGAATAGTCTCATTTGAAAGCGTAGACACAACATCAAGCATGGTGGGTCTATGGCATGGTCTTGTACACACAAGAGGCCAATATGAATGCATCTTAATATTTCATCATGAGGGCAATTTTCATCCATACTAGGATCCATTAACTCTAGTTGTCTACCTTCATTCCATAGCTGCCACACCTGTTGGGAATACAATTGGACATTTAATGAAAACCTTACCTTAAGGTTTGACATTATGTTCATTCAAAATTTTAATCTTCCCTAACCGTACTAACAAAATGAAAAAAGAGGCTAAAGAGGGAAAAGGAACTTACATATCCTATGAGGTTAGGAGGATAATTAGGATGATAATGGGTAGTATTCTTCCTCCCAGTTACAACTTCTAGCAGTAGAACTCCAAAGCTAAATACATCAGTTTTGATTGAAACAAGGCCATGGAACACATATTCTGGAGACATGTAACCACTGCAGAAATAATTAAGATATAAAATTTTGACTTGAAAGAGGTCAACAAAAAGAAAACTAGTTTACGAATGCAGGAAGACATATAGATGTAACCAAATACAAAGCCACTTACTATGTTCCAACAACTCTGTTTGTATTTGCTTCAGATTCATTTAGTCCAAATATTCTAGCCATCCCAAAATCTGATATTTTCAGATTCATTTCATTGTCAAGTAAAATGTTGCTAGCCTTTAAGTCTTTATGAATGACTCTTAATCTGGAATATTTATGTAGATAAAGTAGCCCTTGAGCAATCCCTTCAATGATGATGAAACATCTCTTCCAATTCAATATTTTCTTCTTATCGGAATCTGATTGTAAAAATTTAGCTTAATAAGCAAGAATTCCACCAGCTATAAGTGAGACGAATCATAAGGTTGAAGGAAACAAACATCTTACCAAACAGAAACGAATCCAAGCTTTTGTTTGGCATATACTCATAGATTAATAGATTTTCTTCTCCTTGAATGCAAAAGCCTAGAAGCCTCACAAGATTAGTATGCTGCAGCTTTGCAATTAGTAGAGCCTCATTCTTGAACTCTGCTACTCCTTGTCGTGAATTGGTGGAGAGTCTCTTTATTGCTACTTCTTGCCCATCATGTAATATTCCCTGAAATTATCATCTCACTTTAGTATAATCTATAATGGAAATTCATAGTTCTAGCTCATGACATATATTGATTACCTTATAAACTGGTCCAAAGCCGCCCTCACCTAGCTTATTTGCAGGTGAGAAATAGTTTGTAGCATAGGCAATGCTTTCAAAGCTGAAAACAAGCAGCTCATTTATATCTGCTTTATGGCCTTTTGGTTTTCTAAAAGAGATGGAAGGTGTTTCACCACCATCCAGTCCTTTTATTAGCATCCTCTTGCTATATTTTTCATCATCTAACAAAAATCAAGGAATAAAAAGTTTGGATATGATTGCTGAAATAAATTAAACAAATTGATTATGAACACCACAAAAACACATGTTGCGGAGTAAGACACTGACCATTTGATGTGCATTTTTTCCAAATGATATAGCAGACAGAGCATAAAGCGGGTATGGTCATCATTAGTCCAACTGCAGTGGTAAGCCATAGCCACCATTTGTTCTCTGCAATCAATTGACTGACATCTTTAGATTCTTTACCGCAACAACATCTAATTAAGCAGTAACATGTCAAGATTTTGTATATGTTTGACTTATAAGACTTGTGTGTAGGTGGATCTCTATTCTTTTAATTAATATGCTAGGCTTGGACTTTTTAGAACAAAGTCAACTCACCTCTGGAAGGAAGGATGTAAATCATGCGGCCTTTGCCATTGACTGCTGGTTTTAGTTTTGCACTTGATGTCCAAATTTCACAGGCGGTGATACTGTCATCTGAATAAATGGTTGTGGCAAAAGCAAGACATTTGCAGTTTAACAAGCATTTGACCTTAAAACTCAATAGTGAGGTTTTTGCTGTCACTGAATCTGAATCCATCTCTGGACATTGAACCAAACCCCCCATGGATGAATGTATCCTCCATACTACTCCTGCATTTCGGAAGCTTCTGCTTTATGCATTTACTTTTGGCGCCAGAGATGTTAGGTTGAGAACACGAATTTAACCAGAGCCAGTACCAGTCAGAAGCTTTGGATATGAAGAGCTTACCATAATAGTGTATTCTTATTTCTGGGAAAGAATTTGAGCTGTAATATAGAACACTTAATAAAACACTTTTTTTCTAATACTTAGAGCATCACCCCTAAAGTACTTTAGGCAGTAGATCCACCATTGAAGTTAGGCAAAACATATGCTAAACTCTTAAACAAATCTCACATTTACTATTGAATTTTTAGATTTTAATTGAAACATATAAACACTTAAATTCTATAATTTGAGTAATTTAATCCTTAATTTTTTAACTACTGTAACAATAAGAGCTAAATTGATGTAAGTATAAGGGCTAAATTACTTTAAATAGTGAAATGTAGGGGTTTATATACATCAATTATAGTTTAAGAGTTCAATAGCGAATTTAGGGTTAGTTCAAAGGTTTAACATATGGTTTTATCTTGAACCTAGGTAGCAAAAACGGATCTATAGTAGAATGATCAAATCCATCGATAAAATTAGATAGTAGGTACAAATCTATTCTGAACAAAAAAAATATAGATAAATAAACTCACAAAATTTTTGAGTTAAACAAATTACCTTGATGTGTAATCCCATGTGATCTTATAATTTCATTAACTGTTGGATGATATGGATACTTTAAACACATTGGAGCCATTTTTATGACTTGGACGTTGATGTGTTTCAAAATTATTGTTTAAAATCTATTTATATATAAA